AGAGAGTAGAGATAGAGTAGAATCTAATTTCTATTATCAGATAGTAGATTATAACTATTTTGAAAAGTAGGAATCTCAACTGCTTGCATTATATCTAGTTTATCATCAGAGTCATTTCTCAATTCTCTAATGTTAACAGAAGTTTGAGAATTCAAATTTTATTTACACTTAGCTGAAGAGTTGAAGTTTGAAGATCTAGATAGTTGAGAATTTCTTCTTTTTAAGCTTGCAGTTGCAGATTTACTAGCTTGACTTTTCTCTTCAGTTTTAGATTCACTTTGAGCTTCATCTTTTCTTCAGTTCTTCTGAGTTCTTGAAGCAAATACACATTCTTTTGAGCTAGATGCATATTTTTCTTTGCAATTGAAGCACTTAAGCAGAGTATATTGATATATTTCATCTCTTTTTAAGCATGTTTCATAATTATGCTCACTAGTTTTGTGATCTCTAGTACAGAATGCATATTTTGAGTCTCTGAAACAAGAGATTGTAAAGTGTTCATATCTTTGACAGTTTGAACACTGTGTTTAAGCTTTGAGATTCATTCTTGAGTCTTTGTATTCATGAACTCTCATTTTCAAATCTGTTACTCTTACTTCAGAGATTCTTGATTGTTCAAGTATCTTTATATACACTAGAACAGAGGCATTTCTTCTACTCTGTCTGAACTCAATTGAATTAAGTCACACAGGCGCTTTTCTCAGTTGAATAGAATTGTATTCTTTCAATTCATTTTTAAGAAGTAGCATTTCTTCCTCACAGTCAAAGATTTCAACTGAAATATTATAAAGAATGAATTTATCTCACTTTTCATCTCTCTCAGATAGAATTATTATATTTAACAGAGATTCTACTGCTGACTTTCAGAGATTCTCATTCTGAATAAGGAATTCTGCACTGAATTCAGGCATTGTGATCAGAATGATGAAGTTTTCAAAGAAGAATGACTCAATTGAAGCTATAACTGGTTTTTAAACTTCAATATCAGTTATTAACTGAGAAAAGAACTGCTGATTGATTTCATTTCTAATTCTGAAAATGAGGTTTGAGTTTAGCTTATTTCTCTACAATATGTCCTGATTTGAGACTTTGAGAATAAGCCTTCTATTTCTGGAGATTTGAAGATTTTTCTCTTTTTGCATTTTTTTCTTCACTCTTCTATCAATAGAAGTATGAGCAGTATTCTTCTCAGTTTTCTCAGAATTTTAAGCAGGTTTTGAGATAGTAGATTTAGAGATAGCAGGTTTGAAGACAGCAGATTCTGCTGCTTGAGCATATGTTTTCTTCTGATTTAAAGAAGAAGAAGAAGACAAAGTAGAAAAGAAGAAAGAGCAAACTGAAGAGTCAGTGATTGTATTAGAAATTTTCAAAGTTTTTTAAACTGTGTTTGAAATTCTAAGTTTGAACTTGATCACTTTCTGTAGTTGTCTAGTCTGAGCATGAAGAATTAACAGAACTTCTTCATTCATCTCACTCAGACACTGCTTTTCAAGAATTTTACTTACTTTTTCAAGTTTCTGTATTTCAAGAACTTGTTGTTTCTCTATTTCTTCTTTCTTTCTTCTCTTCAGAATTTCAATCTCAGAAATAGCATCTGAGAAAGCATCCTTTTTCACATCAACTGAGTGTACTTTTGAACTCATTGTTCTTACTCAATAAAAAGTTGATCAGACTAATTCAATTGAGATATTTAAACTCTTTTGAATTGAAAAGTTGATCAGACTGTTTCAATTAAGAGGTTTCTAAGTCTGTTTTCAATTGAAAAGTTGGTCAGACTATTTCAAAAGAAGAATAACAGACTTTTGTATATAAAACATCTGATTTTTTTTCACACTAGTTCAGTAACTAGATTAGATTTTTAAAGAGAATCTAATAAACTAAAATTGATTTTTAAGATAAATCAATAAAATCTTTACAATCTCTTTCTTAGAATACAGTGAGGAAAAGTATGATATCAATTGATAATAAATCAGATGATATGACAGTTTTTAAGAGAAAAACTGACAAAAAATAAATCAATTTTTTACAGAGAAATTGATTAAAACTATTCAATTTTATTCTAAATTATTCAATTCTTCTCACACAACAAGTGTACAACTCAAATCAGTTAATAAAGAGTGTAAAAAAGAATTAAGTATTAATAAAAGCTCTTCAGTCACTGAAAAAGTAATTCTTACTTAAAAGAATATGAAATTATGATGAAAAATAACTCTGTTTTTAATTCTTTGTAAGAATATTGTATAAAACTCAGAGAAAAACATCTTACTTTTTCAAGAGAAGTAAAAAACTATTTCTAAGATCTTTTTTTTTTTGCATTAACTGCTGTAGAAGAATGAGATAGAAACTGCTAAGATATACACTACTGTATACTCTCTATCAAGACTTTCTCTCTTCAGAGTCTTGATATTATAGAGAATATAAGTCTGTTTCTATATAATAATGTAAATATTATCAGCAGAATGTAGAGAAACTGATTATTTATATCTCAAAATAGAAGACTTTGTCAATGATTATATCAATATAGAGTTAATTCTCAAATTCAATAGAAATCTAGTGTTGCTGTTCTCAATCTCTTGCAGAATCTATTGAATATTGAGATATTAAAACTAGATTTAATATATCTCACTGTGCAGGGATCAAAGGCTCAGTCAGATCTTGAAGTATACTGATTTTATAGTTGTTGTGTCTGCCGATTATGTATCGAGTACAGTTGCTGAGGTATCTTTTTGTACTTTTCTGTCAGGGATGGGCCAGATTGAGACGGGTGGTACGAGGGTGAGACTTGGCGTTGATGTCTAGATACACTGAAGACAGACTGCGGAGGTTGCACTTCAGAAGTGACTGTTGATTATGTGCTTGATATTATCGCCGAGGTATCTTTTTGTATTTTTCTGCCGGGGATGGGCCAGATTAGGAAGAGCGGTACAAGGGTGGGACTTGGCATTGGTGTTTTGGAACATCAAAGATGGACAGGGTTTTCGTGGAGGTCGCTCCTCAGATATCTCCACAACTACAGATCAGGGATCTTCCAAAATCGAGAAGATTGGTGCATATGACTAGGTCTCTTCACCTTACAATTTGTATGGCAATTTGGCCCGGGGTTGTGGTGTGGTAGGGGAGAATGGGGGATAATCCCACACAGGAGTTTCGAACGATGTCTGGTTCACGTTTGGCTGGATAACTCCACCACCACACAGGGTATGCGGTCGGCGATGGGGTCAAAATGCTCGTATGATCGAGGGCTTTTCGATGGATCTATCGGCGGGTTCTTATTCGAAAAATCGAGCGAGTTCGTGGTGGAGCGGTTAGATTATAATCAAGATTATTGCTTCTGTGATCACTGTTTACAGGTGATTTTCACTGCATCTGCTTTTGAGAATTGTGTCTCTTATAAACAAGTGAAGCATGCTATCATTTCAGTGATCTTATCAGTAGAGCTATCTCAGATGAGTGTAGAGTATTCTGTTAAGAGAAGATCTTCTTCTTCTCTTGAACTTATATTATATTCTGTATTTATTTCAGTTTAAACTTTCTAAGCTGTTTGAGATGATAATTGCAGCTCAAGTGACTCTTGTTCAGAGATATTATATGTATATATTAACTGTGTTAAATATCTTCTATTTATGTGAAAATGCAGAAGTTACTTACAGACTTGTTATGAAAGTCTGTAGTAGATTAATTAATTTTAAAATTAATAATTCTTTTCAATCTGTGATAAGCAGCTGCAGAATCACTAATACAGTATTTCAGAATGTAATTAGATCTTTTTAATTTTAAGAGTATGAAGTGTAAGAATATAGCAAATTAAAGTGAATTCTTATGTGTAAAAGAGACATAATCTGATAAAGATGATATAATAGAGTAGTTGATTGATTATCAAGATCTATCTATTATGTGACCTTTTATATGTGATAGGCATTTGCTAAGCAATCAGTGAACACCTCACTTATGCAGAAGCAGTCAGCTCATAGAGAGAAAATCCGACATCTATAAGATAAGAATTATAATTATTCATTAATAGTAGTTAATAACTACTTATTTAATGCTTTTTTATTATCTTATTAAATCACTTAATTCATTCAAATTCAATCTCATCACTTATAAAGTCAGACTCAGATATAGTGATAGTATAGTTATTAGATAAGTTAAAGTATATATATTAATTCTCTAGATAAATCTTTAATTTATTATAATTAATAAATTTAATACTATATTATCTATATTAATATACTTTATTACTATTATTAACTTACAGAAGTATAATAACTGTATAATAAAATTTATATCTTTAAAAATAATTATAATTCACTGTTTATATTCTTCTTCTTCTTGAAATTCAATCATATTAAAGTTATAGATATTACAGTGAAAAAAATAATATTAATTAAAGATAATTTTATATTAATTAAATTAGTTAATAATGAAACTTATATTCTTATAAGATACTTATTTTAAATTTATAGACTTTTACTTAACTTATTTATAATCTAATAGATATTTAATGAATTAATATACTTATATCTTACTTACTATAAGAGATACAGTCTCTGAATCTATATAATACTATTTTAATAAACAGTTTGTAGCAGCTTTGATATACTTGATAATAAACTGATAAAAATTAATATTTAACTGATAAATTCATATTTTAATTATCTCTTTCTAGCTGTCATTTAATACTTAATTCAGTAAAACTCTTATAGTTCTTGATTTCTTTCTATTAATTCTCTCATATAAGATAATATATAAGACTTTGAATTCTTATAACAGAGATGTGATTTTTAATTTTAAATTACTTTTATATATATTAACAGCTTATTGTAACTGCTTCTCAGTGTAATTAGAAGATTTAAACATGATTATAATTAATGATAATTATTTGAAGATGAAGAATGAAGATATTGAAAATATTTTCTATACAGTGTGGATTTCTGTACACTGTGGCGCACTCACTAGAGAGAGTGAGTAAGCATGGCACGGTTAGCAGCTAGTGGAAGCTAAATATCTGGATGTGTGTGGGTCACGTGGGTTAGGGCTTGTGTAGTAGCTCCAACAGCATGTGAAGGGGTGAGCGCTTAGTCACCCGAACACAGACGCACCTGCTGCCAGCACCACGTGCCGCAGCTACCACCTTGAGCTCTACTTTCTGGGATGACCGCATCAGAAACCGACTACAACTAACTATACAAACAAACTCCCCTCTCACATCCCCGCCTCCTCCTCCGTAACGAGCCAGAACATTAGTCGTGCGGCCTAGCTCCCCAGCTCCGCATCAGCTCCGCACTTTCGTTAGACTCCTGGAGAACATCCCCCTAGGCACCAACCAACTATAACCATGGCTCCAGGAATCAGTGATCCCCGGATGATGTCCGTCACCCCTCGCATTCGATACAACACCATAGGAGGCATCAACGGTCCTTTGGTTATCCTTGACAATGTGCGTGTGCTGGTTTTGTTTGTGGTGCTCAGGATTTATGTCAAGTGTACTGATGAGATATGCCTGTGCTTCGCGCCGCATAGGTTAAATTCCCCCGCTACAATGAGATTGTGTCCCTAACACTCCCCGATGGATCAGAGAAGTCCGGGCAGGTTTTGGAAGCCAGAGGTATGCCTCGTGTACCTATCACTCGAATTCTGTAGTATATCGGAGTACTGACTTGCTGTGTTTTATTTTAGGTGACAGAGCAGTAGTGCAGGTCAGTATTGGGCGGAAGTCTAGTTGCTTGGAAATTTGAAATGGAGGAGTTACTGAGTGGTGGAATAGGTATTTGAAAACACACACGGTATTGATGTTAAAAAGGTATAATATTCCATGAAGAGCGGCCTGTGTTATTACTGGTGATATGTCTGCTAATTGTTACAAAGACTAAAGTCGAGTTCACTGGACACAGTCTCAAGCTTGGTGTCTCGGAAGACATGCTTGGGCGGATCTTTGATGGGTCCGGACGTGCAATTGATAAAGGCCCTAAGGTGCTGGCGGAGGATTATCTTGATATCAATGGCAGTCCAATCAACCCATACTCACGAGTGGGTTCTCGCACTTCCCGACATTCTAATTCCCCAAGACTAAATCGGCTTACCAGGTATACCCGGAAGAAATGATCTCGACTGGTATCTCAGCCATCGATACTATGAACTCCATTGCCCGGGGGCAGAAAATTCCTATCTTCTCTGCAGCTGGTCTGCCGCACAATGAGATTGCCGCACAGATATGTCGTCAGGCGAGCTTGGTGGGCAAACCCACCAAAGACGTGCATGATGGACATGAAGACAACTTCTCCATCGTCTTCGCCGCTATGGGTGTGAACATGGAAACAAGTCGTTTCTTCACCCGTGATTTCGAGGAGAATGGCAGTATGGAACGTGTAACACTATTCCTCAACCTTGCAAATGATCCCACGTAAGGGCTCTCTCCCCGCCATACCCAAAAGCAAATACACCGCTGATAGTCCATTTCATGCACACAGAATCGAACGTATCATCACACCCCGTCTTGCTCTTACCACCGCAGAATATTACGCCTACCAATTGGAGAAACATGTTCTTGTTATCTTAACTGATCTTTCCGCGTACTGTGACGCTTTGCGAGAGGTTTCGGCTGCTAGAGAAGAAGTACCTGGTAGACGTGGATACCCTGGCTACATGTACACTGATCTGTCGACCATTTATGAGCGAGCTGGCCGTGTTGAAGGCCGAAATGGCTCTATTACGCAAATCCCTATCTTGACTATGCCTAACGACGGTATGTTTGTTGTCCAAGTCCTTGTTGGATGCGCTCCTGAAGATATCGCTGGCAGGGCTAATTTGACCACTATAGACATCACTCACCCAATTCCTGATTTGACCGGTTATATTACCGAAGGCCAAATTTTCGTTGACCGCCAGCTCCACAACAAGGGTATCTACCCGCCAATCAATGTATTGCCATCCCTATCTCGACTCATGAAGTCTGCCATCGGCGAAGGCCGTACGCGTAAAGATCACAGTGACGTATCCAACCAACTCTACGCCAAATATGCCATTGGCCGTGACGCCGGTATGATTCCCCTTTCATCACTCCTTTCTACAAGTAAGACACATAATATCTGAAAATACTAACCCAATGATTCTCCAGCTGCCATGAAAGCTGTCGTCGGTGAAGAAGCGCTCTCAGCTGAGGATAAGCTCTCTCTCGAGTTCTTAGATAAATTCGAACGAACATTCATCTCCCAATCACCCTATGAATCCCGCACTATCTTCGAGTCCCTAGACTTGGCGTGGAATCTACTCCGTATCTACCCCAAGGACTTACTTAATCGTATTCCTAGGAAAATCATTGAGGAGTATTATCAGCGCTCCGGTAAAGGCCGGGCAAAGGGGAATAAAGATACCAGAGACAACACAGCTGCGGAGGCGAGTTTAATTGATGTGTAAGATTTTGCCCGTCTTGAGAATAAAGAGGTAGCTTGGTAGGTCACTAAGATGTTCTTTTTCTTTCCGTTTGATATCTTTTTGGATAGAGGATTATTTCAATGATATGAATGAATCAAGAGCCGGGATTTTTCAAACGATGAATTCTGCGCTACTCTGTGTCCACATATGCATATCGCCCTAATTTGGTTTGCACCTGTCACATAATTATACGGCCTGTTGCGCGGGAAAGGGTATTTACTTTTACTTCTCCATTTCATTTGTTCTATTCCCACTTTTATTGTCCCTTTGCTCATGTTAATTATTTATGTTTTTCTATCTTTTCAATCCTTCTCTCGTAGTTGCATTTGCATGCGTCGATATTACATAAAGGCTACCATTGCATAGTTTTGCCCGTTATTGCTGTTTCCCGTGCTATGTCATGATAGTTTTCTGGCTACGGGTTTGATGGGCTACAGGCACACATGCAATCTGATCTAGATCTTGCGAACGATGGGAATTAGGATGGACAAGAACGCCTACCGAAGTTTCCTCTAAAATATACAAAAATTTCGCCGACACCAATGAAAATTATCAAGCAAATAATCGGCGTGCCCTTTGCATAAATGACGCCATGCTCATCGACAATCCTCTCATACGTTGTTCACCTTTCGAGGCATTATTACCTCGGCGGCATGCCCATTCATCTTGATCCTTATATAAAACGCCGTTAATAACCACCCCTCTCCCCTCTTTCAGCATCTGCTTCTGCTCCATCGAACATGTCGCCTCCACCGCCCGCACATAGCAAATTGTCTCCGCCATTGGCGGCGCGACATTCGTTTTTGTGGAATTTCGCGACCCCATCGTGTGAAAAGTGGATAAATCGACCTCGTCACCACTGCCTAGATCCCTCCCACCTGCAATGATGCGAGAGAACAGCGTGAAGGCAGTCTCCGGCTGAGCGGCAGGCACGAAGTGGCCTGCGTCATAGACGCGCGTAAAGGATAAGTTGCCGAGCTGGCGCACCGTTCCGCCAACGTAAGAGCTTCCAGAAGCCCCGTTGGTGATGGTTAGGGGTGCATATCCGGCGATATCGCTGAACGCGTTCTTCTCTCGGTATGGTGCTGGGGCGTTAGGTGACGATGCGATGGCTACCGAAACAGCCTCGCCGCCCATCCAGTTGCAGACATAATCCCGATCACCGTGGATGAGCGCTACTCGAACCCCTGATGCCAGCAGCGAGCCCAGATGCGGAACGTACGAGGTGCGCATGTAGTCGCCTGTCGAGATGAAAGCGGACTGGACAGCCTTGCTATAATCTGTGTAATTTACCTGGACGCCTAGGGCTTCTTGGACCCTGGCTATGTTGAGGTAGGTGAGGTGTGTGAGTGGGGAGAAGCTGGAGAGTCGCGATTGTGAAATGTCGTATTCGCTCCTGTTGGATTTATGAAACGGGCTGAAGATATCATTGTAGCAGGTGTACATAGCGGCCAGGCAGAGCGCAATAACGGCATCGACGTCCCCATTCCCCGCGGGATCAAGAGACAGTGCTTTCGAACGGCAGGCAGTTATTCGTTCTTCACACCCATCCTTTTTTTCGAACGCTGCTAACGATGCGTCCATCTCCGCGCGAGAAATTGCCTGAATACCGTAGGTATTGTTGTAGGCGAAGATTGGGTAGAAGGGTTCCTGGATGAGATCGTCGATGCAACCTTGGAGGATCCCGACGGATTGCAGATTTATTTCAAGCGTCGTTTCTTTGGGGAGTTTGCCGTTTCTTCGCGCTTCGTTTTGTGCCAGCCAATGTTCTGCGAAGGCTGGGCCATACTTCCCTCCATAACTTTCTGTGAAGAGATGGATACCAGCGGCGGAGCCATCTTCCTCATTTGCTTTGCTAGGGTTATACTGGGGGAACGCGCTTAAAAAACCCTGCAGCATGTGCCAAACCGTTCTACTTGCAATGGCGGTTGTGTTTGCCGTCGCGTCGGCATTGCAGGAGCTGAATGTGCCGTTCAGAACCAGACCTTCACCATGCCTAGAAGGTACAGGTGAGGGCGGGAAAGTATAAGACGAAGATAACAAATCCAGCGATCCATTGCGCAGACTGTCATACGAAAACCCAGTCTGGACCGGCTGATCTATGAAAAGCAGATTGGAAGCCCGATCCCAACCCCACTCCCGAGCACGCGTACCAATGCAATCTCGCGAAATCTCTACAGCTTCACAGGGCCCGACCTCCTGAAATAGACCCGTCATGCTACTGGCCCCTGGCCCGCCATTCAAATATATAGTCAGAGGCGCCGTGTCTGCATTCTGCCTCGCCTCCACGAACCAGAAGAAGGTGTTGATGGGGTAACTTTGCCGGATGGGCGAGAGAGCCTCTGGAGGCAGGTGGACGTAACCCGTATATTGCTTTTGGTGCGAGGAGGATGTCACACAAGCCCACGTGGGGAGGGTTTTATATGAAATGGTGACGTTTTCGTTTATTGGTGAGCGGATGGTTGTTAAACCGGCATCGTTATTGTCTGTGATTGGTCGGAATTGGGATTCCGCTGAGCGCGAGGGGAGAGCTGTGCAGACCGGGAGGGTAGCGAGAGCCCAGATCAGGAATTCTCTCCATCGTGCCTTGGAGTAGCTATGTCAGCCAGTGCGTTGCGGTGCGGATTCGAGAGAGGAGGATGAACCTATAAAGATACATCGAAGCTTGAAAACGGGAAATTAACTAACTTACCATCTGGATGGTAGTTATCAAGATGACGTGCATAAGCGAAGAACTCTGCTTTCTACAACCGCAGCAGCTCCAGGGTAGTTAATCCGTTCTTTTGCAAATCAGGACTAAATAATTCATTTAATCAAATTGATTCTGGGTTTCTCTCATCTTTAAGTACTCACATATCCTCGTAAAAGGGAAAACCAAAAAACTCAATCGCAAGCCAATCCCGCGTCGTGATCCCGCGACTGTGTAACTCGGGAGGGGAGAACAAACGGCCCGGCAAACAAAGGCATCGCATCCAGGATGTAAAGAAGGGGAGAGTATGGAGCATGAAGTGCAACATGTAGGCAGGAGAAACCAATTAACTAGTTAACTACTATAATAACTCAAGGCTGATTTGAAATTCTAAACAGAATAAAACAGCTAAACTGTTGCTATTGAGCCTAAATATCCAGGGGCTTCATCCCAGAGATGAGTTAACTTGTAACTAGAGTATTTAAATAGTGATCAGTTCTTTGGAGGAAAAATTGAAGAATCACAAAGAATGAGAGGTGCATTATCACCTGCATGGACTGGTATTGCATATTGAATATTTACTTCAACAGACAAAGGTAACTGAGCAACTGCACTGTTGAATAAGACATGACATTTATATTGTTCATTTCAATTCTCAAGAGTCATAACTGTACTGTACATTACATACTCTGTACAGCAGAATTGAATATTCTAATCATAATGATAATAATCTGCAGAAGAATAATTAATGTTATGTTTATATATAATTTAACTAACTACTGAGATTATCTAGTTAAGTAGAATATAATAACTTATTATTATAAAAAACACAAATGACTAGTAAATAACTAACTAGCTGAACCAACTGCTTTTTAACTTTGTTGGGCCGGGAGAGAAACAAACGAGTTCATGCTAGCAGATAGTAACTTATGTAGTTAACTAGTTACTAGTAACTAACTAGTTAAATATGACGATCCGCAGAGGAACGAACGGACGAATAAATAAACTCGCATTATGTTGAGTTAGCAGTTAAGCTGAGAAATGCGGCCCTAAATATACGCGTATTCGCAACCCTCGTTTCTAGCCATACACCGCATACCTACTAGGCAGAGAGATCTGCTCGTCTTCTCATCTATGCGCGTATAAAAACGACGTTCTTGGGCTGAACAGGCGGAGCATCAGGCGGTGCTGCTCTCGTTTGGGCTGATAATCATCAACGTCCAGCACTCAAATTCGCCATGAAGGAGCAAACTAAGTGACGAAATAGGGGGTCAGAATGCTCTTTTTCTCGGTCCTATCAACGTCGTCTTGAGAGTCCACAGATTTGCATATAAATATCAGGATGGGATGCTCTCCCATGAGAGAACCATCATCACAACAATTACGCACATTGTTGTCTCTTCTTTTTATCATTAAAACGAACGGCCCAGTGCAAAATGTTTTGGTCCCTCGCCCCTATCGTTCTTCCCCTTCTCTCCCTAACAGGGGCCAAGGGCGTGCTTCTAACAGAAGAATGTCCGCTTCTGGGGCCGACTTTCTCTTCAGATTTTGACCTGGACAAAACGGATGCTTTCACCAAGGCAAAGGACTCCTTCCCCGGAGTGGTTGAAGCTCTATTCGAATCTGGAGTCATTGATAGCTCCGTGTCCTCTTTCGCCATTGACGTCTATTCAACCGTCACCAACAAATCGGTCTACTCTTATTTCCACCAGGCTACAGCTCCAGCTCTTAACGAAACTTTCCCTGCCGGTGGGATAGATGATGGGACTGCCATTCGTGTGGGCAGCGTCTCCAAGCTGTTCACTGTCTACGCCATCGTGGCTCATGCGGGCGGCATGGCAGTTCTTGATCACCCGGTGACGAGGTATCTGCCGGAGCTAGCCTGTGAGTCCCCCAAAGATGCCGACGATGGTCCCCTGAAACGCATTGCCTGGGAAGACATGACGGTTGGGGCACTTGCTAGCCATATGGGTGGTACCGGCCAGTTCCCGCCAGAGTTTACAGCTTGTTATTCACCCATCCCGGAGAAAAATGAATGTTCCATTCCAAAATTCCTCGCGCAGATGCGGGATGCGAAAGTCCCAAGCCAACCCATATTTCAATCTTCACTTTACTCCGACAGTGGCTTTGGCGTACTAGGACGTGTGCTCGAGCGCATGACAGGTCTTACATACAACGACGCGATTCAGAGCGTTCTTGCCAGGCCATTGGGGCTCAAAATTACTGGTTCGATATTGCCTCCAGGCAAAAACCCGAACGCGGTTATCATTCCAGGAAAGACTCCAGTGCCAGGTGAAGCTCCGGAAACCGCCTGGGGTTACGATAACCAAATCATTGCGCCGTAAGTCCCCCCCCCCCCCCCCTTTTTATTTTTATTTTTTTCTTTCATTTCCCTTCTCTCTCTTCGCCCCCTCCTCCAAACTAACAGATCAACTAGCTCCGGTGGCATCTATTCTAATCTCGCCGATCTCCGCGCAACGGGCCTCTCCATTCTTCAGTCTAAGCTGCTTTCCCCAGTCACTACCCGCCTCTGGATGAAACCTCGCGCACACCTCTCATCGCTAACTACTAGCGTCGGTGCACCGTGGGAAATCAACCGCCTAACAACCTCCATCTCGCCCAATTCCAACCGCACGCGCGTCACCGATATTTACACCAAAGGCGGCGGTCAGCCCGGGTACACTACCATATTCGCCCTATCCCCCGACCACGGCCTTGGATTTTCCGTCCTCGTCGCCGGTAAAACAGCCAGCGGTGACCGCTGGCCTCTCCGCGCCGCAGTTGGCGAAACCTTTGTCGTAGCCGCTGAGCATGCCGCCATGGAAAATGCCGCGAAGAATTTCGCAGGTACCTTCTACGATGAAGCCGATGGAGCCTCGAATGCAACACTGGCAGTTGAGGCAGACCATACGGGCCTGGAACTCAAGTCCTGGTTTGTAGACGGCGTCGAGTGGCGGGCAAACATCACACTGCCCGGCTTGGTCTTGCCTGAGGGGGTGGGCCAGACCGTGCGTCTGTACCCTACTGGCCTGGAATTTCCGTCAGATGATGGTTGGACACTCCTCCAGTACCGAGCTGTGCCCCATCTAACTCCTGCGCAGCCGCGTGCGGCGGTAGAGGGTGGTGAAGGGCTGTTTGATGACGGTTGCACATCGTGGTTTAGCACTGCGTTCTTTGACCTGGGGATCGGGGTGATGGATGAGTTTCTGTTGAAGGTGAAAGAGGGGAAGTTGGTAGAAGTGCGGAACCAGGTTTCTGGGAAAGTGATGAAGTTGGGAAAATAAGATGGGATGGGAAGATAGGGGAGGGGGGTAGCATTTCATTCTTTTTTTTGTTTTTGATTTATTTCTAGATTAGTACTAACATTTTCATTCTTGTTGTAAATTACACATTATATAAGAATTACCTGCAATGAAATCATCTTTACATTGCCCAATAATCAGATATGTAGCTGGACATGACATGAACAAGACCCTAACTTGACTGTTAAGTGTCTTGTGCAAAAGCTAATCAATTAGCGGTGAATGAACCTTGAAATCCGATTCAGGGGGTGTGAAATTGCGGTGAATAGCAACAGCAACAACATAACCAAGAGCTAAATAGCCCATGTGCAGCTCTCATGAATCCTCTCAGAGTGATATAGATGACAAGCTCAAGGCTAATTAAGTTAGCACATAGCAGAGAGGATCAATCCGGGACCTGTTGTGAGATTATTGTTCAGATACATGTCCTCACTGTTTCAACAGATTCCGAGTTAAAGAATTCGCAGGCTTGGAAAAAAATGGAGATGTATGTGAATGAAAGACTATCTATATAGTTTTAATTATTCTGCTTAGATGTAGTCATTTTCTACAAACGCTGAATGAGAATTAGAAATGATCAAAGAGCAGATGTGTGATTTTGATTCTATTAACGCCTACTGTATCGCTTGCTATTTCATACACACAGAGAGAGAGGGGGACGGAAATCAGCAGAGACAGTGAAGAAGATAATTTGTATAATCTCAGATCTGAGATCTGTTGTTATATAAATTGTAGAGAATATCCGTCGTGCAACTGTTGGATATTTTAGCCTCTGGAAACAACCGTCCAATTTCCATCTCGGTGCGTGCGCAATCCCGCAGACCACGGGTTAGATAGCTCAGGGGAATATTTCGAGGATATTTCAAAGAAGGCTATCAATATTCACTCGGTGTAGAGCATTTGTAATTATGCATAAGAGTTAGTTAACTATAACTTTCATCAAGTTATGAGGAAGGAACTCAATTCTTTTTCATCTCTGCATCTCCCATGAGAAAGACAAGAATTAAAAGGAAAAGAGTAATACCAGGGAACACTTACATAAAAAAAAAAAAGAAAAAGAAAAAGAAAAAGAAAAAGACGAAAAGAATACCAGAGAGGTAACTATCCCAGTCAGTCAAGAAAGAAAAGAAACGCGAAAAGAAACCTGACAAAACCCACCCAAACCCAAACCCAAACCAGCTCAACTATGCATGCAATGGGGTTTACGCAAAAAGGCCACAAAGCCCAGAGGGCAAGTCAGGGGAAAATACCCCGAACCGAAGGAAAAGGCAAAGACAAAAGAAAAAAACAGTATATAGAAATACCCACACCCTGGATGAATTAACAAACATCGGAATCAGAAAAATCACAAAGAAAAAAAAAAAAGAAAAGAAAAGAAAAGAAAAGAAAAGAAAAGAAAAGAAAAGAAAAGAAAAGAAAAGAAATTATCAATCAATCAATCTTCGCATACACCAGCTTCTTCGGCGTTGTAAGATTATTCAGCAAGCGTACATTCGCCGGCTTGAATTTCGCATGTTTCTTCAACTTCTTCCGCGCGACCATCACGGGCACGGAGGATTTGGTGACGAGGTAATTTGAGAAGGACCCGAGGAGGACGCTGTATATCCGAGTTAGCAATTCTTTTGGGGGTTTCCTTTCCTTGGTGCGAAAATAATAAATAAAAAGAATTAGGGACAAGGGCTGGAATGGGATGACATAATATATATATAGATGGATGAGATGAATGAATGACTTACCCTTTAAGCGCGCTGCGGCCTCTTGATCCCAGAATTACCAGTGTAGGTTCCAATCCATCAATCTAACGTGCCCGTCAGCAAATCGCATTCACAAAGACTAAAAAAAATAAAAAAGACACGGAGAGGAGTTCAGGGAAATGGGTAGATCAACAACACTAAGAAAACAAATTGCCAATTCATCAAAACTTACAGCTTCAGTAATCAGATGCTTCGGACTATTACAATGAATAACTTCAACAGCAACCCGAACCTGTAACTTCGTCTTCCTCAACAACCGCACAACCGTCTGCGAAATCCCCTCGATAGCTCGAAACCTCTCCGCCTCGTCTTTGGACACAGCCCGCGAATCTGCAGAGCCGGGTTTGCTGTCAGTTCCACCACCACCCCCGCTCCCTCCACTAATCTGAGTCGACGACGTATTCGCCGAAGGCAACGGCGACGCCTTTGTCAAATTTTCCGCCGTCTTCTTCGTCTGCGATCCAACAACGGCAGCCGCATCCAGCATCGCCTTAAGCCCATCGCCAATCTGCACCGACGACGAGGAATCTGGTTCACCTTTTCCAGCGCCAGACCCAGACCCGGTCTCTTCGTCAATAGCATAGACGGCATAGAGCGTGTCGCCATCGCGGAGGATGGTGCCAATCGTCCATTCCAGCGCGTAGACGGACTCGTCGCTAAGATCCGTCGCGACGAGGTACGTGCGTAATCGCATGCGGCCGTTCTGTTCCGCTTCTTCCTGCACGCGTGTAAACTCGCCGCGGACGATGGTACGAATTACACGGTTGGGAACGGACTGGTCGATGGGGGACATGTAGATGCTGAGGTTCTGGGCTTTTTTGAAGTCGCTGTACTGTGCTTCGTCGTCTGAGCCAGCGGGGGTGTTTGCGCCTGAGCCTGCGTAGTCGAAGCTGGTTGTTGGGTGGACAACGCCGGTCTTTTTGTGCAGATGTTTTTCTGTAGCTGCTTTCGCGGTCACGGGTACTGGATCGAGTAATGATTTAACCTTGTATGTAGATGAGACCTTCTTACCTAGAAGCAGATGACATGTTAGCCGAAATATTCCCTCCTCATATAGGGAATCCCCATGTAAGATGTAAAAGAAAAATAAAAATAAAAATAAAAATAAAACATACGTTCTTCGTCAGCAGCAGCAAGAAGACTCCGCACTTGCTGCGGGCCACCACTCTTGTTGACGCCATTCTCCTCCGAATCAGATTTCTTCCTACCGTGTCGACGTCCGCGTTGTATTTCAGCGCTCCAATCTTCCTCGCCCGAGCTCGAATTATCGTTCTCATCACCGCTACTATTATCTCCACTAACCGCCTCGTCACCAGAGTAATAGTCCTCCTGGAGTCGACTATCTCCGGATTCTGAAACCGCATCCTCCCCACGCTCTCGACTTGTAGGAGATTTCTGGAACCGGGATAATGTGCCACTAGACCTTGACAGTGCTGCATTCGACAATTGGCGATATGCGTGATCTAGATGAATAACTTTGCCCGTATCCGTAACAAATGTTCCTGGAACGGGCATTGGGTTAAACGAGTTTGTATTTAGCAGGCCAGTGCCTGGCGAGCGTGATCGCGCCAGCCGTGCAGAAGGGGACCTGGAATGGCGCCCAGAGACACCTACAGCGCCTCCGTGTCGTATTGTATCCCGCCCTCTTGTGAAACCATGTAGACCGCCTAATTCCTGCCCCGACATGACAGCTACCATGGAGCTAGTGTGTGCGGCATTGTTCGTGTGAGTTGCAGATTTCTTTCCGCCCTGCGCCACCCGCTTCGGCAGGGCTTGGTTTGGAATACTGGGCAGCATTTCAAATTGGTATTCCTCAATGCCCTGTTTCTTCCTGGTTGGACTGGGCAGTGAACCGCTGTGGCCTGAGGGTTCTGACGAGCGACGAGGATGGGACTCCTCGCGGGTTGATGATGATATTGAAGAATTGGGAGATTTGGGAGATTTGGGAGATTTGGGAGATTTGGGAGATGTGGGAGATGTGGGGAGTATTGGGGAAGTTGTGGCAGGGTCATATTCAGTAGGCCGCGATTCGGCACTGTGGGTCAAACGGAGAGGAGATGGTGAGATAGGATCGAGCAAGCTGCGCACTGGGGGCGCTGATCGGCTGCTGGAGGAAGGGGTCGTGACGCCAACGCTCGCACTGGGGCCCGCGATGGAGTTATGCCTCTGTAAAGCTGGGTCGGGAGCAACATCCAGCATGCTCCTGATTGGAGGCGTGGGGCTGGCATGGCGAGCTCTAGAAGGCTGTTGTTGGGGGGAGCGACGGAGGCGACCCTCGAGGATATCCAGAATCTCGCGCCGCTCTTCGTCTAGTGCGGATTCCAGCGACATCTTTTTCGGTGGCATGGTGAGAAGAAAATGAGAGGAGAGAAGGAAGAGGATGGATTGATGAAGGCGAGTGGAGTATGTGTAAGTATGTAGATTGTGTGGAACAAGCTAAGGCCCGGTGGAGGCTTAATTAGTTAGTGTCATAGAATAATGTGTCTGCAAAGGCACAATTCAACACATCAGCAGTAACCAGTCAGGAGGGAGAGAGTCGCGACATATTATAGATTAATCAAGAATTATTCACCTTTCTCATAATCCACATCTAGTGTTTCTGCCAATACCTCATCTCCGGGCAAGACAACATACATGTTCTTGTATCGCGGCGCGACTTGCTTAGCTAAGAGAATTAACGTTAGCCTAGCAGTTGGGTGGCGTTGGCGGAGACTCCACATACAGACACAGACACACATCATTAATATTATTGAGGAGGAGGAGGGGACTGACTGCTTGCTCACGCCTGGCCACACTTCTCTTTGCCTGCTTCTGCTTACAACCACGCAGACAGTAGACGGCAGACCAACTGACTGGGAGAGGAGGTCAAAAGCTATGGAAATAGCTGACAGCCACAGAGAATTGCCCTAAGATACAGAACAAACAAAACACAAACAGCAGAAAAGGACTATCTATCTACACAAGAAAGAGGGGCAGGCAAGAGGGAAAGATAAAATTCTGTAGGAACAAAAGTGGCTGAAGCAACATCCGGTGGGCTCGTTACTGCGTATTGTCTACAATCCAGAAGCAGGCCCAACGAGGCCTTTCCCAAATTCTTCTAACAGGCTAATCTAATAAGAGGATCAAGACTCCAGCAGCCAAGGCCAGGCAAGCTGGAGCCAAGCAGCCTACCAAGCCATTACACAGCCATACCATGGCGGGGGGGGTTCGAGATGTCAAGGAGTGGATCCGCATCGGGATAAAAATGTGAATGTGAAAAGACCCTGGTACTGGTAAGATATCGCTGTTGAGAACCGGGTTTGGCAAACCTGAACGGTTTCTTTCTCAGCTGGTGTCTAGTATTGCGTGTCTATCAGCAACCAAAGCAACCAAGGGAGGGAATATGTCTCCGCGCTGCAACGGAGGATAGAGTGTGGATATATAAACAATCAGAAAGTTGCCGTGATTCGGCCTCATGTGGCACCGCACCTAGAGCTTGGACTAGTAGAGTGAGTTAGCCGTAGGGCTGAGCTTGGGATTACGATCGGGGAGTTAGGATCTCGACCGCCCTGCTGCGATGCAATGTATTATGCATGCGGCATGGGGACGTGGCCGGTTTAGCCGCCAGCCAGGGTCCGACACCTGAGGCGAATACTCTCACCTGTGTTCTGAGCGTCGTGCAGACGATATTATTTTTGAGCAAGGGAGAAGGAGAAGGAAAATATGCAAATGGATGAAAAACTGAGAGCTGAAAAAAGCTGTCCAATTGCGCCCTATCACATCAATTCTTGTTTAGCTAGCTTATCCTTGTCCTCCCTTGCCGTCAAACGCTCCCAGTGTGTGTAAAACCGACGGTTTAAGACAAAAAAGAAAAAGAATAAAATACAAAGAGTACACAAACCAAAGCCAGCAGAGATCTTAAGAGAAAAAAAAAAAAAAAAAAAGAAGGGTAGAGAACCACCGCCCAGTGCGCCTATCATATCTCGTATTTAAGCCCACGTGGTCAAAAGACAGCAAATCAACCGCAAATTCCACATCCATCTAGTAATCTGACCCTTCAAACGAGCACAGAATTAAAGAAAAAAAAAAATTAAATAGGAAACCGAATTGGCGGTGTAAAGAGTGCATCACAGTAAGAAAGCACACACGAACACAACCAACCAGAAACAATGCATAATCCACCACTCCAATGAGATACCCCCTGTGAGGCTATGACCTACCCTAGGCTCCCCGCCGAGCGGACCGTCCCTTAGTCTCCGTCGTTGCCGTCGCCGTATCCCGGGACTTATCATTCGATGCCTTGCGCTTTGCAGTGGCCAGAAAGGCCTCCTCGGGCGGCTCATTGCCGTTCCTCTCCCCAGCTTTCCGTTTTCTCCCGTTCCCCTTACCAGCTGCTGCTTTCGATCCAGAGGACGGCGCATACTTAGCTTCCATGTCATCCAGGAACGCAGCCGCGCGGCTCTTCTGCCTCTGGTGGATCAGCGCAGCCAAATCGCTCATGCTATCCTGCTTCCCTTTCTGTTTCGCCTGGCCTTTTTTCCCGTTTAGTTTATCACCAATCCCCAACTCCTCCACGAGCTCCTCCGCCTCCTCCGCCTCCCTCCTCGCCTTCGCAAGCCGCTGCGCCCTCTTCTTCTCCGTCTCCCGCGAATACTTCGGCCAATCCTTCACCTCCCCCGCCGCAATCGCCGCATCGATAATCTCTCGAAACCGCCCATCATCCTCCAGCACATTACTCAGCATAATCTCTTCATAAACCCTGTCCAGATCGCCCTTGAACCGCTCATAGGCGGCTAACAGATCCGTCCGTTCCCCCTCGGAGCCCTGATACTCGCGCTTGATTTTATCGATAGCTTCGCCAGAGATGACGGCGGAGAATTGCTCGCGGAAGAAATCAACCCAGTTGAAGTCGTCGTCTCCGAGGTCGAGGGATTCGGCTGTGTTTCCTGTTGTGTCGTAGCGGTGTCTGCGGCGTGGGTCGGAGAGGATGGCGTAGGCGAAGGCAATTTCTTGGAATTTTTTATGGGCGTTTTCTTTGGAGTCTGGGGTTGCTTTGTCTGTATATTATTATTATTATTATTATTATTATTATTATTAGCACAATTGTTAAGACATGTCTATATTGTGTGTGGTGGTAGTTTAAATTGAATTAGGGGAATGCTTGGTTGGGATTTTGGGAAGGTATCATACCTGGATGGTGTTTTAAAGCTTGCTTCCTGTAAGCAGATTTTATTTGATCTGCCGTCGCCTTCTCCTCTACGCCCAGCACCTCATATGGGTTGACTAAGGATGGTGGCTCGTCAGGCACGGGTTCGTCAGCTTGCGACGGCATCGCGAGCAACTGTTTTCTGGTTTTTAGATGGTGGTTGGAGGTAATTGAGATATTTATTTCCCCAAATGGAAAGGTTTTTTTTGAGTGTGGGCTTCGGAGATTGGATATATATCAAGTGTAGCAGGTCAGATCAAAGTAGCTTCGTTCCTTTCATTTCAAGTGTTGTTGTTCCCTGGTCTATCAGTGTAAAATCAATTTAACGCGACACGCGCGCCTCAGAACGCGGAAAATTAGTTCATCCGCAAAAATTTCCGTGCCAATGACGTCGTCGCCCGCAATCTAAGTAGGATATTCCAATAACGTTTCCACGAGAATAAATATAGAAAACTACATATTAAAAACAACAAAATCCACACCAAAATACCCATGTGCAACTAACCACAACCCATCCGCTACCTGTCAAATCCTTCACCTCCAACAATGACCCCCCCGACCACCCCCTCCCCCACCATCACCGCCCTCACCTCCCACGAAAACAACCTCCAAACCCATCTCCACTACCTCCGCGCCTGTCTCTCCCTAGCCCAAAAATCCCCGCCAAAACCTACAAATTTCCGCGTAGGCGCTATTCTCCTCTCGCGAACCCTCCACGCCTCAGCAACAACAGAAACAACAACACAAACATACGCCGACACAATCCTTTCCACCGGCTACACCCTCGAGCTACCGGGAAACACGCACGCCGAACAATGCGCCCTGGAAAAATATGCAGCGAGCCATGGCGTGACTGATGAGCGGATAGGGGACATTTTACCACCGCCTCTTTCTCCCGACGCGCGAAGCGCAGGTACGGGAACAGGGACGGGGACAGACAAAGACCAAGAACGTAATCATGAACAGAAGATAGTCCTCTACGTCACTATGGAACCATGCGGGAAGCGGTTATCGGGTAACACGCCGTGTGCGGCGCGGATTATTCAAACGAGCCGCTCGTCGTCCTCGTCGGAAATAGAAAATAAAACGTCACATGGTCTCGATGCTTCAAACGGGCCCGGTTCAAACGCCACGCGGAGAAAGTCCGGTATTGACAAGGTGTACTTTGGCGTGAAAGAACCGGAGACATTTGTGGGGGGTTCGGTGGGTTGTAGGATGCTGGATGAGGCCGGGGTGGAGTGGGAGGTTGTGGAGGGGATGGAGGAGGAAATTTTGAGCGTGGCGAAGGCGGGGCATGGGGATACAGCTGATAGTCAGAAGGAGGGGATGGAAGATGACAGGCAGAGACAGGGGACTACTATCGATGATATTTCGGAGAAGGAGAGGAGGAGGCAGGCTGCGTTACCACGAAATCCGAAGAAGAGGATGATGGAGGCGGATATCTAAGGGGCGATATTTTTTTTTTTTTTTTTTTTTTTTTTTTTTTTTTAACCGCATGGAAAGTCATATAATAAAATTCTAATTTAATAAAAGTAGATTGCTAGTAATCCGCATCTTCACCAATCACACCACCACCGCCCGTATATATGGTTTAAGGTATAAAAATGACTAAGAAGTGCCGTCTTCCCCTGGGTGTAGCCAAGAGGGCAAGATGGCATTAAGGCCTTGGAAAAGTGAGAGTGTGTTGCTCGTTGGGTGGGGGTCTGCTGCGTCTGATGGGCTTAACGGGTAGGTAGGTATGCACCACTCTCAAGGACGGTGTGGACTAGTATCCGATCAACGGCACACCAACTCCCCACTCGAATTTACAATATAGCAGTTTGTGTCAATTGGGCAGGGCAAGCCTGAAGTTGTTGCGGCTGCCGCTGGGTCTCGGCATACCGGAGTATACTGTGGTGATGGTGATGGTGGGGATGGGGTCCGGGTCGGTGCGATTTTCCTTATTTGGTCTGGAGCGACAGTGTTCGTATTTTCGAGTGGAAGTGCAAGCGTGACTGTGAACAGGATATGGAAGAGGAAGAGCAGCAGCCCGGAGAGCTTTTTCGATCTTGATGCTGAGGAGGGAGACATTGTGCGATGAGAGGGTAATGCAAGCAAGATGTGTTTATATTTTCGATTGAGGGATTTGGGTTGGAAGATTTAGGGTCACACCAGAGGTACGTGAAAGTTATGTGCAAATTGAGGTGGTCAGGACAGCATTTCACATCCTTAATGAGAGGTTCGATGAGTAGGAAGATAGTAGAAGATCAAAGGGATAAATAGGAGGATAGCACAAAGAAATCCACGCCAGAGGGAAACTAAGCAGAGGCCAGTTAAACAAGCAGATAGCCAACAAGAAATCGATATAACTCAGATATGACTACACAGTCAAATCAGAGAGTATATGTATCTCTTCCACGTTTGGCTTGCTGCTCTGCCGTATAATAAGACGACCTTGGAAATAGTTTTCATGTATACCATAAGGTATGGCATATATAAAGGTGCTAGCCGTAAAAGTTAGACAGATTGACATGTTGTTGGCTACCTTGATGCAGGGATCCAGGCTCAGCAGGTTCCTTTGTTTGTCCATCAGGATCGGTTATCCGACACCTTGCATATTGCATTCTGCAAATTGCCAATAAGGCAATTCAAGCTACTAACACGGTAGATGCGGTGCCCATCCGACGCCCGATCGTTGCGAAACATACCATGGAATGAAAAGAAATACGGTGTACAGGTAGCGTACGTCTGCATCCTGACTAATAAACAAAGTAACGAATGGATTTGCCCTTAAACTTCTGCTGACTGCAATTGCCAGAATCCGTTGGAAGCACAACGAATGATAAAGCAACTGCTTGTTCAGGACAGAATCCCCTGGCGTTGGTTTAAGCTATGAGGCTGATGGCGCTAATTTCAGTCACATGACCACGCGTTTCTGCGTCAAAAGTCATATATACAAACCAGGCATCGTTATTCGGGTGATACTTCAACAGCCGAATTTCATACCTAGGCGGCTAAATGCGAAATATATACAAATCTATAAAGAGAAGACAACGAAGAAAATAAAAAGACCAAACAATCCTTTAACCTCCAAGACCCAACCAGCCTTGGAATCAACTCTCAGCCCCCATCAAGCCCGCACCATGAACTCATGGCAGATCACAGTCACCATGGCCCCCTCCCCCTCACATACTATCCTGCCTTCTGCCACAAGATCTCGCCCACCTTCTTCGCCTGGGTGAAAATTGCTGCGATCGATATGCACCACCTGAAACTCCGACCGGGATTCGAAGGTATGCGCATTTCCCAAAACACTACGTATTGTGTATGCCTATATATATACAGTTACACACAATAACAAAACCGACAGGTCAAAATATCTATTTCTACCTCAACCACCCCATCCAATTCATCTGCGCAGCCGGCATCATCGTCGCGCGCGACGAGCAGGAACGCCGTTCAATCCTCGTTCTAGACGATAGCTCCGGCGCCTGTCTCGAGGTTGTCTGTTCGAAGAATGTACAGGTACCTAACACCAATGCCATCACCACCACCAACAACAGCAACAGCAGCAACAACTACAATAATAATAATACGTCACCAACGCAGCCCACCCACCTAGCCTCCGCCACCAACAGGCCTCTCAACATCACCCCGCTGCTCCCTGGCGCACGCGCAAAGCTCAAAGGCACCATCTCATGTTTCCGCGGCATGCTCCAGCTCCATCTCGAGCGCTATGAAATCCTGCGCGATACGAATGCAGAGGTGCGGTTCTGGGATGAGAGGACGCGATTTCGGTTGCAGGTGCTCAGCGTACCGTGGGTTGTGGCGCGCGGGGAGGTGGAGAGGTTAAGGGTGGAGGCGGAGGGGGTTGCTGTCGCAGCTGCAGCAGGACGCAAGGATGGTGATGGGTATTTGAATGCGGATGGGCATGTGGTGGCGCGGAGGAGGAAGGCGGAAAGGGAGCGGGAGAGGGAAAAGGAGAGGGAGCGGAGGAGGGGGGAGGGGGAGGAGAGGGATCGGTTGAGGATTGAGAAGAGGTATGAGAGGGAGGAGGTGGTTAGGGAGAAGTTGGCGAGAAGGTGTAGGGAGAAGAGTGCGCTGGTTAGGAGGGATGGGAAGAGGAGGAAGAGAGTTAGACAGGTCGATGTGTGAGTTTGGGAAATTGAGGTGAGAGGGGTTTGGATATGCGCCAGTCCCCTATTTATTATACCCCATTTCCTGGCCTGTGAAATGAAATGTGTAGTAAGACTATTTGAAAGGTAGGAATCGAGAAATATTTAGTGTTGTATCGCTATAAGTTTTCGCTTGTTATGGGTAGAAAGGAAGAACTTGAAACGTCCCGAGACAATATCATTAAAATGCAAGGATAGATTTAAGTCAACACATGGCTGAATATATTATTACCAAAAAATCCGGAATCAACGAATCAACGTGCTCCGACGAAATAATAAAATTCACCAACTAAAAGTACCCCCAAATATCCTAGAAATAGAACTTATTAAAGAGAGCCCAAACGTGAGTATCGTAATAGTCCAACATACGTCTCGCATGTCGTGATCCTTTCGTAAGATCGAGGAGCCATCCTCCACGACAACCCCTTTCACACAGCCCCGGGTCCCGCATATGCACTTCTAGCTGCAATCCCGCCTACTGTGCCTTCATAGCCGTCTCACGCTCCTATAATACTCCTCATCATCCGCCTAGCTCCCACCGGACAAATTCTTCACATCCTGCTTCTTCACATTGTCAAGACGGGTACCCTTCTCTATTTCACTATCATCACAATCCCCATCATAGTCGCTTCCCATTCGAGTATCCTCATCTCTTGATATCCCCTCATTGTAGAAGGCCTCATAATTTTTCGTGTCACACGGATTGGAGGTCATCGGATGTAGATAGAACAGAAGCCTAGGGGAAGAAGTGAATTCAAAGATCTCAGGATATGCCGGACGCTGGCCTGAAGGGAGCGAAGCGTCGCTGGGACAGCTATCCGACCCGTCGCTTTGTTGATTCATGACATTCGATCTTGGAGCTCCAACCGCCTTCGCTGCCAGCCAATGAATGGTTATTGTCCACGGAATCTTCCTCATCAGCAGCCGCGTTAACCTCATGACGGCTAGCACTCCTAACAGAGGCGTGAGACTGACACCCCTGCGTGTGAGCGATATGATGCCTACGGCCATAGCCATACCAGTGGCGGTGGAAGGTATTCAGCATATTGACACAGTCAAGGTCTTGAGACACTTTACGCGATTGAGAAGCCATCTTCGTCTCCGCTGGGTGCTCTGTTATAGCTGGTGCCAAGGTGTTTGCTGAAGACATGTTCTCGGGTTCGTTTTGCGCGGTTATCTCCATGTTCAGGAAATGGGATTTTGGACCATTCCTCTAGAAGCCATTTATCCTCGAGCTCCTCCCGCGCGATACGAAAGAGACGGAAATATTCGTGGGACGGATAGGCATCAGGGATGGTGGGCGATTCGTTCGTACGAGTTTGGACAAAGATATGCTCCACGCGAAGCTCGGAGTACAGATGTGAGAGTGGTTATGGAACATATCTACCATCTGCAATCAGCTTGGGTATTCCAAAATGTAATATCAAGCAAATTCTGACCTGTCCAAGGTACGGGGTCCCGGCCAACACTCCTGTTTGCAATTCTTTTGAACATGATGTCAGGTGTACAAGGTTTTGTACCATAGTCAGTCCAAGTAGTTAAATTAGCTTTCACGCAGACAATAATGAAAAATGATAATTATCACTCTAGGATAGGTATAGTTACGATGACGCGTGCAATATTGTATAACACCCAGCTCATCTCGAACGTCGGATTACCATTGTTCTGGAAGATCAGGCTCCAGGTTTTCGGTTGTGACGACGACTCGCAAAAAATACTCTCATAAGGTACCTCCTCAGGTGGGAGACTGTCTCTCGTATCATCCAAAGTTTTACTCAAAATAGGAGAGGTATGCCGTCGGTCAAATCCAGTGGAACGGAGATGATCGCTCTGGGAGGTGGTTGCACTCTGGCTTATATCGGACCAGTCGATATTATCGTCGGGAGGATCCAGCTGAAACGAGCCCCGATTTAATTTTGAAGGAGGTTGTCGACAAGGGCCTGAGACATCCACAAGATAGTAGAAAAGAGTGTTAGGCTGGCTACGCCATTGCTTCTGGTCAAAGCCAGGCCAACTACCATCAACAGACATGCTGATTCAAATGGTACAAAGGTTGTCAGAGGATACTCTATGGCTTGCGCTTTGGTCGTGGCAGGATGCAGCTATAAGCAGAACAACAGTTTGAGAACAGCGCACAGGAAGTAATAAATTCAACAGTCGGATGTGCCTGTAGTTTAGGAGTAGAATCCAGCGACCACTTCAGAGATGATAAATCTATGAAATAAATAGATGTTCTTATCAGACGTCCCTGGCGGAGCTGTAAGATCGATACGAAGACGCTCCTTTTAGCTAGAATAGAGCAGCTGGTTGAGACACATGGGACATACGTTGCCGCTGAGGGCGAATGAAGCCATGTTGCATGATTCCAGCTCGGGAAGAACCCTTCGCTGAAATGAATTGGTATATCCATCAGTCAAATGGAGGCGGTTAAACACGCGTCCCTGAGCGCTATTATTTAATATGTTATTGCTTGCAGAGTCAACGTTGGCGCCAACATAGTATGTGATAACAGGAAGGTCCCGCGCCAAACTTTCATCCCGGCGAATTTCTCCAGAGAACGTTTTAAGACCTCAGCGGGGCTTCTTGGTTGGGTTAATGTATTTTTCTTCCCAAGAGATTGAAGGAATGAAAAGTATCAACGAAATTTTGTCAGAACAAAGGTCGAGGCAAATCCCAGTAACAAGCAGGCAGATGTTGAAACTAACTACTCCGTACTGTGTAATGAGATCAATCAAATTGGTAATGAGACTATCAAATATTCTGGTCCTGGTCCCAGACACGGTCACACGGTCAGTCTAACTGTGATAATGTACATCAACTGATTCCATATTTTTTAGCAGCCTCAGTGTAATTAGAGATCAATTGCACATTCAAATTATCAATTGCTGCTTGTATAACTGCTTTGTGATGCATGTTGTGAGTGTTTGAAGATGGATGAAAAAATGAAGATTGAGCGGGCGTTGAGTGTAAGCGGGCGTTAGGTGGTTGATCACGTTATAGAAGAATCTGATTGATGAATATAAGAACTCTGCTTTTATACAGAGTCAGCAGATTTTTTCTTGCATATCAGTGAGACACTGCTGCAAGCACTGTTTCAGCTACTCTCACTCATAGAGTGGAGAAAGAATAGCTGTCTATTATTTATATAGAATAGCTAGATGCTATCATACAATCTTCTTAGCATACTAAGTATCTATGATATCCTTGCAATAACCTTGTAGTCTACAAGCTCACTATTCAAGCAAGATAGTCAAGCCTACTCATACAGCTTCTCACTGGATACCATCCTCCTGTGTGACACCGCCGCTTAGCTACCGCTTCGGTTCCGTCATGTTACATCAACGCAAAATCTTGTTAGTGGTGAAATCACTGAGTGGAGGTGGCATATTGATGATAAAAGGTAAGAAATGTATTTGGATGATAATTGAATGATTCTAGAGAAATGTGGATATTTTGATTTTTTTGTGGTGGTTTGCTACTAATTTTCAGGGGGTGCTGGGAAAATTCTGTTTTTGCAAGTAATACGTCCGCCACAATACAAAAGTGTTTACGTTGGACGTTCGAGTGAACCAGTAAACATATTCCATTTAAGGAAACAAAACTATCTTTGCTTTAGAAAATGGATGAAATTAGAACATGGACCGATGCTATCAAGGTAGTTTGATCATTGCTATCATCCGAGTGGCTTGGTGTCTCTCCTGCTCTTGAGGGAGAAATATAATATTTGATGTAAACAGATGCAAGAAACAACTGCTAATGTTCGATTTTTTTATTTTTTTATTTTTATTTTTTTGGTTTATATCCCTTCTTCTCTTACTTTTCTCCTCTTCCTTACTTTTCAGTTTTCTTGCCGGTATTTCCCTTCAGGCAGGGAGTGTGCGATCCGTAGGAGAAGATGTGAAGCGCAGATGTGTCAGTTGATCAGTTGAAACTGGTAGAAAGCCCCCTACATGTAATTCTGTAGGTCCTCGTCCTCCTCGTCATCGTCGTCAGATTCGATAGTGGCCGCAATTGGCTGAGGGCAGCGCATAGTCGGAGCCTCACTCTTCGGAAAACGAGCACCCTATCCCAGATATACAACATATTAGGGAAGGCTAGGAGGCAAAAGGAGAGCATGGTTGCAGCAAGCGGGAAATAAATAACCAGCCGGTATAAAATAAAAAAAAAATGGTAAGTTCAACATACGGGAACTTTCGCAAAACCACCTCGACTGCCTCTGACCCTCGCTGTAGCTGGGTTACTACCCGCCCTACTCGCTACTACAACACCCTCCAATCTGCTATGCATGGTTGGGGCTACGGATGGCGCGTCAACAATGCGGACATGAGGATTTCCCTGGGGATCGAAGGCAGTGAACCTGGTACCCGCCCCTTCATAGGAGGTTTCGGTCAACGGGCGTCTCCTCGGCTGCTCAAGCCAGACTCCTCCGCCCCCAGTGCCGCCATCAACGGAGAACGCGTCCTCATCGCTATCGAAGTCGTTCGGATTTTCGAGATTAGAGCTTTGGGCGACGGAACCTTCCTGCCAGTATGGGTTTTGCGCGATACAATGGCCGTTAGACGATGGGATGGAGAAGTCGCCCCTCTGGCTCTGGCTAAAGATAGTAGAAGTTCCGTCCTCGATCGTTTCCCTGAGGTCTTCAGAGACGGGATCCCTTTCTAAGTGCTCCTGGACGCAATTTTTGCATCTCTAAAGAGGCCGTCTTATCAGAACTAGACCAGTAGAGATACATAAAACAGGGGGGGAAAGGGGGGGAGGGGAAGGGAGGTTGGAACAGCCAGCTTACCGCATTATCCGGATCATGGCGTTGATTCTTGCTAAAGTACTCCAAAGCCATGGTCTTGCCACAGAAGCTGCAGGTGAGTTCGAATACTTGGCCAGATATGCAAGTCATACAGCCAGCATAGTTTTGCCCAGTGATGCCATTGCAGCCAGTCTTGAGCATCCCCTTGCAAAGCTCTTCGAGCTGACGTTTGGAAAAGGCTGACTGCCCGCGGATTTTCTTGCACACCTTGCATTTTATTCTATTTGCATGTGAGAAAAGACACCTATTGACCCCCTAGTAAGGTTGGAATCTGTAGTGGAATGCCTCTTACTTGTCAGGAACCTTGACAGACGCGAGTCTATCAACGGCTTAGCATTTCTTCCCTAGTCATACACAAAGCAATCTGGGATCTTACCGCCGGTTGTAGGTAACGTAGTCGAAGCCCCCTTTTGGAGCCATGATTCTTGAGCTTGGCTGTGATAGGTTTGATTGATGTGGATGGAAGTTTGGAAAGGTGGATGAAGACCAAGGAGAAAGGAAGGGAAAGCAGCAAATTTTGAGGCTTAAGCTAATTCACCTGTAGCACCTCACAACAATTGAGTGAATATGCAAGTGGAAGAGTGTGCTGTGGTGTTCTTGAGTGCTTTTGTCCTAAAGAGGTAGTAGGTGAGTGATAGAAGCCCTCCTTCAAGCTCAGCTCAGGGGATTTATTTCCCTTTTTAAAAAACATGCAATCATCTATTGGCATCAATCAAAAGGCCCTCACAGCATAACATTTATTCCTCAAAAGGCACATTTTACCAGGATGGCAGTCTTGTGCATCTAGCCGAGATATGCCTCTCTTCCACAGAAAGGACTGAGGTTCCCCTTCCCGGCAATCTGCTTTCTCCCCCTATAGGAACAATGAACATCATTGTGCTCTACTTGAGGTGGGATACTGCGTACCTTGAATGAGAGACAAATGACGGTAGACAGACACAGACTAAAATTACCAGAAAATATCCCTTGGGCAACAGCAAGGCCCGCTATTACCTGCTGGTATACCCACAGGTCTGAGAGCTGGTTAACAATCGCAACTGAAGTTGAAAGCTGTATCAGAGAGGGTATAGATGGATGGCAGTGTGAAAATGAACCATTTTATGGGAAGATAGAGATGGGTTTTATTATTTAACAAGAGATATTAGATATTGGTGGTGGAAATATAGGCTTGCTTGGACCAAACCAGCTGTGTGTAATGTGGTTTTCACGCCACGGTTAAAATCACTCTTGTCATCTTGCGAGAAGGCTGCCAGCACGAGAATGGACATCGCCGCGCAAAACTCACCGCTCAACGGGAGAATGGGGATGCATAAAATAATTATTTGAAGGATAGCTGACAATTGTCATTGGTATAGTGCAGGTTATTGTTCAAAGAATATACATCCGTGTACATGGACTTCAAAAATCCTGCGGGATAATATGGAAATATCATCGCCAAATGCCGCAGGGGTCTTTATGGAACGTCAAGGATGACAGATGACGGATGACAGATGACGGATGACGGATGAAATGACTGAACTGCAAAGGCGCAGATTATTGCTCCAGGAGTTGGCAAGTAAGTCAAAGGAGAATCTAAACAACTTTCAAGCCAGGTTTAATTCAGCTGTCATTCCCCTTCGGGTCGATCTTGTCCCTTTGCCCACCTCAGATTTAGCAAATTAGCATGGCAAAACAGAGGCACTTTGCCCTATGGCATCAAACTCGCTCCAGGAGACTCATCTCGTCGGGAACCAGTCAAACATGCCTTGCCGCGTCGCAAGGTATACCCATTGGCTGATGGCTCTGAGCCAGCCATGCGGCTAGGACTGGAGAAATTTTTTTTCGTCGCGCTTCCAATATCCACATCTAAGATACATCAATGCCCGCCTCGTGAACGGACAAGCCATTACATTTCCACGTTGAGTGCGGAAAGGAAATGGCATCAGTGGCCAGGCTGCAGCAAGGATTCTCCACCAGTATAACCCCGCACTTCGTCTTGGTTCTCTCATTCTTTGTAGAAAACTGTCTTTGTAGCAACCTGTCATGAACAACTCCCCATTTTCTCCTTAATTCAGTAAGTTCGAGAAATTGTAGGCGAAATCAACAAATTCTCGAGCAGACTGCCTCTTTACTCAAGCCCGCAAAATGGCCAAATCCATCAGCATTTCTGCTGTCGGCCACTCGGAGATAAATCGAGACCCAGAGCGCGCCGTTGTCTGTTTCAGGGTCTCACAGAAGGACGGGAATAAAACGGCTGTGTCCAATAATGTGATCCAAACGGCGAATACCGTCCAGGAGTTCCTTGAGACATACATTCCCAGACTTGCCTCTGGCGAAGCCACTCCGGACGCGGCGATCACTCACTGGACCATGGGCACCCTTAACACTAAATCTTACACCGATCGCGACGAACAAAAGACTATGTTCGAGGCAAGCACTTCGTTCTCTGCCACATTCCGAGATTTCGATAAGCTTGGAGCCGTCGCCACGACACTCAGCGTGATGCCAAACGTTAGCATAACGAGTACACGATGGATGTTGACGGACGCAACGATAGCGTCATTGATTTCAGAGTGCAGAATTAGTGCGGCACATGATGCACGGACGAAGGCGAGAGATTATGCTAAGGCGTTTGGGTATCAAGACGTGGAACCTTATGAAATTTCGGATACCAGTTATGGATTACCGTCGACGAGTACGGCGAGCGTGATGCGCTCGAGAAAGATGATGCGCCCGATGGAGAGGCAAGAGCAACAGTTGATATTCCGTCCCGAGGAAGTGTCCATGACTTCGACCGTTACGATTAAATTTAATATTGTGTGATTTGCGGGATGGGATGGATAACAAGGTTTTGCCGATGGCGTGTCGAAAATAGGAACGAAGAGTGGGGAATCTTGTTGTTGATGATGATGAGACACCAATTGTAGCAATGTCAGGATATGACTTTAATGTTTCTGCCTCTCACGGCCTTGGAGGGTTTATTCCTGTCTTGTATTCTACATTCTTTGGCCAGCCCCTAGCTGTGGTTTTAAAGTCAAACTCAACCTTGATGTATGCATCTCCTGTCGGTTAATCACGAGAATGGATGTATAAGCGAAGTTTATTTGCCGCTTGAAAACGTAGAGTACTATTAGGATCCCAACGCATCTCACTTGGGAGTCGCGGTCAACACAATGAGGACGCAGCGCCACGGGGAACCAGAAGTGTACCCTATTAGCCCTCATAACGTTTTTAGGAGCTGCAATATCAAGGGTCTGACCTTGTATGTATGTACATGGAAGAAAATATAAAGAAATGGTTGTTAAACTGGCGTAGGATGTTTGGATGAAGCTCCCCACAGTCACTCCATCTTAATTATATTGGCAGGTTTCGGGACACGGACGCTGTCTGCTGAAGCCCTCGTATCCTTTGAGAGTATCAATTTGCAATGAAAAAACGATCCTAATAACCCGAGAATAACCCTAAAGCAGAAAATAAAATTAGAATACCTTAAAAGCAGAACGTATCATCGTGTCCAACCGGCTCACCACCGTTTTTTTGAACACTTTGTGTTCGTAATTGGGATTATGTTTCAGATCTTGATCCCCCAACTCTTTAGATGACCACATGGCTTGGGGTGGATATTCTTGATGGTGTACCCCCATGCTTTTCGACTGGGTCTTACTCAACACTGACGAGATGGCCACTATGAATATAAGTACCGGTTCGGCTGACACCAAAATTCCAAAAAAAAAAAAAAAAAAAAAAAAAAAAAAAAAAAAGAAAAAAGAAAAAAGAAAAAGTGGAAATACTGCAATTTAGTTCACAAAGGAGTATCATGATCTGAAAGTTGCCACCGAAGATGTATGATCCCTAGTCCTGCTCATTCAATAGGGGTGTCATCCATCCATCCATGGTAATGCTTGTTCATTTTTGGGTTCGGGAGTTTCCGCCGCGGGCCGCTGATGGCTCTTGCCGCGCGGGAGAGCGGTAAGCGATATTTAGCGAGCGAACGGGCACTTTGCCCAATCCGGAGAGCATCCCCAAACCCCAGCCGGCAACCACTGGACATGGAAAATTGGGCATCGCGCGGATGTCAACGCCTGTAGGCACTTGAAGAGAGGAGAAAGTTCCATGGTAAAATAGGTGAACAGAAAAAAAGTTTGCCCCATTACTATTATACCGTGATAGTTTCGGAGGGAAAGGCTGGGGCCTTTCTCTGTCACCATGGCGATTATCTGAAGCAAACAATAATGAGTGCCGCTTGAGCCAACAGCCTACAGGCAAAACTCCGCCCCTCTTGCGGCCTCCAATGATTCCCCTGATGGACTGCGGCAATCCTTGTTGAAACAAATAAAATGACGGCGTGCTCCATATGAGGCGCTAGTTCCCAGGTACCAGGCAATCGTATCCTTGCTTCCTGATGGCTCGAAGACCCAGTGTGAGGGGCTGTGTTAATTTGTTCTAGGGGCCTTCGAGAAAAAGCGGAAAGCGGTCGGTCTTACTATTGTGGATTTGGCCCAGGATATGCGCAGTCTTATCATGGGAGTAAGAAGACGGAAAAAGAATGGGAAAGAAAAAGTCAGCGGCGGTTGCTCAGTATTAATGCGCGATAATCCACCAAGAGGGGGACAACAGTGATAGAATTCAGCACAAAGAGTCGGACCATCAAGTCCGAGGATGCTCTGAATGGCTTCACGTGCAGTCCATGAGCGTTCCTAACGAGCGCCATTATTATTATCGTCACAAGAGAGCCTGAGAGAGGGCCTTGAAGAATTTTGGGAAGCAGCCTCCTCGAACGGGTCCCAGCCAGCCGGATGAGACAAAGAGCAAGAGCTCTCGATGTTTTGTTTGCTTTTTCTTTGCTCCTCGCCGCGGCTTCCCATCCTATGATTTGATTTTTGAGATTACGGATTCCTTACGTTTCCGAAAGGGTTTTTGTCCCCTCCCAAGTGCACTCCACTCGATCGTCCACGCCAGCACCCGTCGATAAAAAATAGTCGAGCTCTCGTGAGAGTCTAAATGTGAATGAACTCCATCAAGTTCTGGGTTTTGGGGAACAGGCTGTTTTTGCAGGCATGGCTTTCCTGTGAACGCTACAGAGTATGATCGTCCTAAATAATTATTACTATTCGACCACATCCGGCACGGGTCTGTTTGTTCGGGAACAGACCCATGTTTTTTCCCTGCAACAAACTCGAGACTTTAGGGATCGAGAGAAGCGGTTTGCAATGAATGGCCACTCACTCATCCTCATACCGATAAAACGTGTTGCTAGGACTTTGTTACGGGGACGATAGCGAGGTTTTCATAATTATTATTTGAGCGCTCTTGTCCATCCATTATCCCATTCCGTCATTCTGCTTCTGTCTCACATCTCTGATTGCTCAAATATATCAGCAGTAGCCGGACTTGTATCGAATCCATGTTACCGTTGGCCAAGCATGGATCCACTTAGTCACATCTAGCAAGGGGGGCGAGCAAATGAAATGGGCTCAGGACCAAGCCCCAAAGCAAAACCCGAGCCTGCAAAAATGGAAATGAGACTGGGTCGCAACCCGGTGGCCGCGGCACTAAAAGTTCGGGCTCGTGGCATTTCCGAGAGGAGAGGGGACCCTGTTTTCTTCACGAGCCTTGTGCTAACTGCTCTCAAGGATGCTTCATTGTATTGGCAATAATGTTTGCACTTTTTATGTCTGCAGAGCAGGATGCACGAAGCAGTCGAAATTGAAAACAATGAAAATGAGGGGAGAAAATGCCAAAGTTTATCCCCGCCAACCCGGTGATAGCGTTCTGGATACCACAAAGCATGATAGTCAGGATCACCTTGCATTGCAGTGCAGCAAGGCCACAAGCTGCACAAAGCTGACAAAATGTTATTTTTCGCAGAAGATTAAAACAAGGGTGCAAAACACGCAAAGGTTTGATTGGCTGATTGGATTGTCACTGACCACGCCAGAGAGAAAAAGAAAAAAATGGAGCTACTCTATAGTGTGTATTGCATTCAGCAAATGCCTCTATATCATGTGAGAGGACTAAAATATCTGATGGATCTCATATTGTGTCAGTGAGACTACTATAATATTTTTTTAAATCAGTTTAAAAAAACTTCAAATATTATTTAAGTATTATCAAAAATCTTTACTTTTTCAACTTTTAAAAAATAGTATTAAAATAAGTTTTATTTTCTAAAAAATACTAATTTTATATCAAATTAAATAAAATAAAATAAATAATTTTTATATTTTTTCAATGATAGATATAATATTAAATAAATTAAAATTTATAACTTATTAATTAGTTTAAATATAATATAAAATTTTAATAAATATATAAAAAAATTTCACTATATAAAAATAAAATCTAAGAAATTTTCTTCAGAAAATTTACTAAAAATATAATTATTAATTTCAACTTTTTACTTTATTTATTATTAATAAAAGCTTCAAAATAAAAAAGTGAATTAAAATTTTAAATAGAAAATAAAATTATAAATACAGATTTTTAAAAATTAAATAATTTAAATAATTAATTACAGAATTATAAATATAACTAATTTTTTTCTGCTTTTTCTGATATGTTTTTCTTTTTCCTTTTGTCAATTCAAAAGCTCTAGGCAATGACTCTTAGACTGGTGGTGTGTTTACTTTATTAACACGGAGTTCGCCAAGCTACTAAGAAAATTACCAGACTGAAACACAAATCACATCAGCCGTTTACAAGCCCACACTGCGACGCGAAGGCGCGTATTATTATTATAATTTTTATGATGTGGCTTGAGTTATTTCATGATTATTTTTTATTTTTTATCAATCATGACAGAGGAAAGCAGTGCAGTGCAAGTTCAGGCAACAAGGCTGTTTCCTACTCATGTTTTTCTCGGGGTGTGTTGGCTCTTATTATGTGTGCAGCCCAGATACATGTATGTACTCCGTACATACATGTATAGTACCGTACTGTACTGAGATGATACGATGGCAGGTTGAAGGTGGTACGCCCTTGAAAAACGAACGCGTGGAGCCGTTTTTTTTGCAAGGTTACTCGCATTGAGCAAAAGAGGATCGCAGGGCAGGCACACAAGCCTCGAACGGAATAATGGAGAATTGAGGTACGGTACGGAGTACATACATTGAGATACGTGGCGCGCATTAGCCCTTGATGATATATCTATCACCTTCCAAGGCCTCTTCTTTTGAGGGTAGGGGGGGGGGGGGTGACTGATCGCGATCTTTTTTCTTTTTCGGCAAGCTGCTCGTGCTGTCGAGTCCAAACGGATTTATATATGTCTCTTCCCCTCTCCCCTGCAGCTTGGGTGCACCTTTGAAGAATCAATGAATGAATAAAATTAAAAAAAGAGCTGCTACCAACAATCCGCTTGGCGGGTTGTAAAAAAAAAATACGGATTACATTGGCAATCGAATACAGGTACATACCGTGTACCCAAGAGGTGCCCTGGCTGGGACCACAACACGCTTTTTCTTACGGAAAGTTACCGTCCGGCCAGCGAATCAGTGAACAAGGACGACAAGGACAAGACAATTATTATTATTATTATTAATTAATATCGCAGACGTGCCTGAAAAAGTTCTCCAGCTTCGATTCAGGCTCAAAACTTCGTCAGTCAACTCTCTCTCTCTCTCTTGTCTTTTCCTCACCTTCATTATTCTCTTCACGCTCCACGCCTCAAGCGGCATGGTTCGAGTTTGTGTCGTCTGGTTGCGTGGGGTAAGGTGAACCACGGTTGATACAAAAGAGGTAACTTTCAGGCACGAGCTTCCAATTTTGCCAAACTCAATCATAATGATAATAATAAACAATAACAATAAACAATAACAACAACAACAACCAAAAAAAAGACACCATGTATCAGATCCAGCTCTGACAGGTGAAACTTGTGTGTTGTGCGCACCACCCACCCTGCATCAAAACCTGATTTTTCTTCCTTTTTTCTTCTTTTCTTCCTCGTGGTTAAGAGCTAAGTTATCTAGGTAGGGCAGGGGAAGGGGATTGGCATGGGTTAGTTAAACGAAATGTGACAGAACAGTCTCGCCTGGGACCTTGTGTTCCTGGGAGGTTCTTTGGGCCAGGAAGCCAAAAACATCCCTCCCTCCCATTACGGATTACTTGAAGATCGATCTATTATTATTATTTATTATTGACAAGTAACGGGGGGATTTGGCTCAGGAAAACGGGCAGGCCCTATGCTGGACCAACGCCTCCCCTGCAAATCATCAGAAATAATAAAATTGGCCCTGTCAGATAATCGACAAGGTCGCGCTGACAGGCCGCTGATAATAGATAATAAATAGGTTAATATCCGGAGAAACCAACATAGCAATGGAAAGAATAATAAAATATGCATCGTGTGCAGTAACTGGTAATACCAATACTAGCCATGCTCTGTAATGTCCATCTGGCTGGCGTCCATTGTTCTTTTGTCTGGGGAAAAAAAAGCGAAAACATCTAGACAGTGCATTTGGCACGGATGATACGCATTGACAACGCCAACACCAGCCTGCGACGAACATGTCGCTCTTTGGACGACGCGCTGTCCCGTACGGTCCGTACCTTGAATTATATTATTATTATTATTAACTTTGAATGATCGCGTATCAGCTTAGCGGGCGAGCAGGGTACCTAGGGACTCGAAAAAACAAAAAAACAAGCCTAGTAACAAGCCTCAGTACGCGGTTGGTTTACTGGGGCCGCCTCTCGGTGGAAGCTCTTGTAACTCGTTGTAACTTGCCGGAGTTAGTCCTTGTTGGAGCCTTGTTGGAGCCTTGGGGGGGGGGGGGGGGGCGTGCAAGTAAGTGGGCGGCGAGGACAAGGGCATCGATAGTCTGATCTCCACCACCGGACCGGCAGCCCCCGTCGTTGGGAGCGAGCTTGTCACGTTTCCAGGGGCTGGTGTTGTCGCAGAGCAGCGAGAAATAATAATCCATAATCCCCAGCAGCAGCAGCAGCAGCAGCAGCAGCAGCAAGACCAGACTGACTTCCCAAGCCCAAGAAGAACAGCCAGAGAAGCTAGAGAGGAACCCGCTAGAGGAAGCCAGTGGCCGCTCCTTTCATTTAGCGGCTTGCCCATTCCAGCGGATCCGCTCCCGTCGCTCTGCTCTGGTCAGGGAGAGAGAGAGAGAGGAGAAGAAGACGAAGAAGACGAAGGAGAAGAAGCAGCAGCATGGTGTGGTGTGGTGTGGTGGTGTGGTTTGTCTTCCTCCCTTTCGTGCCCAACCACTGGCCGACCTCATTATTTCACCCCATCCCATCTCACCTCATCATTTCATCTCTTCCTCCTCCCTCTCCTTGACTCTTCTTCCCTCTCCACCTCTCTCTGTTCCTCTCTCTTCCACTCTCTCTCTCTCTCTCCCTCCCCCAATCCACCCCTTTCAGTCCTCCTGCATTCTCTCCCGCGTCTCTTCCTCCTCCTCACTGTTCCTCTTCTGCGTTCTTGATTCTCTCTTTTCATCTATCTACCCGTAATAAACCCCCCTCCCCACCTGCCTTATCCCTACATACCTTAGGTTCCTGCAGCCATCCTACCGTCTACCCTACCCTCGCGTTCCGGTTGGGAGAACATGGTCTCATCTTGCCTCTCCTACCCGTCCTCTCCCCAATCATCACAGTCACTCGTTTACCCCCTCCGTCGTTGAAAGAGGAAAAAAAGAAAAGTTACCGTTTGCTTGGCCTGTGGGATCAAGGATCTGTGTATCCGCCTCAGCTTCCACTTTATACCGCACTGCAATCACCCTCAAGAATGCTTACATCGTACCCTTTCCATTATTAATTTATTTTTATCATTATTAATCGCTCTCAACAACCCGCCGCACATACACATACATACGTTGCATTTTACAAACAGCTTTGAAAAGGGAGGGTGCTGTTGCGTCTGGGTTTCAGGGAGCGTGCCTTTGAAGGTATGGTTTTATCGGTCGTCGCCCGCCCCCTCCTTTTCCTAGCTGGACGTGTTTTAACTCCAGCTTTACTACTTCATGGGCTCTATATACTAATCTTACTTGCCCCTCGTCGCGTATGGAGGAACAGGGTTCGCCAATTTGAAAAACCTATCTATCCATAATATATCTGCGGGCAGAAAACCAAACATATACACACACAAAATGACAGTTACCTATGATCAATCGTACCGGAACTCCAATATGGGAACCGCTACGCTCGAAGAAAAGTTTGAGGTGATGAAGGAGATTGGGGATGGAAGCTTTGGGAGCGTCGTGCTCGCTAGAACGCGGACGGCTGGGTCCCACGTCGCGAGGAGGGGGACAATGGTGAGCGATATCCACCTTTCGTTTTTTCTGCATAACTTAGTTGATAATTCTACCTGCACCCCGGGAAAATTGAATCGATCTGACTTAGTTTGTTTTACTACAATGGTAGATCGCGATCAAGACGATGAAGAAGACCTTCGAATCCTTTTCGTCATGTTTAGAGTTGCGAGAAGTCATCTTCCTACGAACGCTTCCACATCACCCCCATCTCGTCCCTGCTCTCGACATTTTCCTCGATCCCATGAGCAAGAAATTACATATATGCATGGAGTATATGGATGGGAATCTTTATCAATTGATGAAGGCCCGGGAGCAGAAATGTCTCGATTCAAAGACCGTGAAGAGCATATTATTCCAAATTCTGTCCGGATTGGATCATATCCACGCGCATAACTTCT